AATAGTAAAACAATAAACCCTACCAACAAAAGCAGGTGAATCTGAATAATTAACGTCTTATTTCAAACAAATAGTTTTTCAATGAATATTCTTTGAAGAGGAACATAAATTTAATGTTAATATTTGAGTTGTTTATAGACTATAGTTATACGTAATGCAATTTTACAATTTTACGCCTTGTGATTAATATCTAAAAATTTTCCTTATGATCGATTTTGTTCGAGGGACAGTGAAGGAACTAAGTCTTTTATAGACCAAACAATAGTCTGTCAAGATATGATCATTATGATGGTCTGGAAGCCTGCAAACTTCAAAGCTACAAAATAGAAGACCTAGTGTTTGATGTTGAACTGTACCTTACTGTGCACCTTCATAGATTTGGTTAAACAGTCTTTTGATGTAGCAAGAATATTTGAAATTTAAAATGTTCTTGGCTTTATTTCGGTGTTGTATAAGCTGTCTGTACAAGTGGAGGCCGGGTGTGCTCATCGACCCATATATGGTTCAGTGTATGACTGTTGACCAAGTCAGTAATCATTTGTAGCTACACACAGCAGTGAGGGGTATTATTGTGGTAATGGTGACAGGATATTGCCTTTCCAAATTGAAAAAAAAAATGATTTGATGAAATCCCCCCCACCTTACACCCCTTTGCCAATGTTAAGGGGGGTGCATCTCCATGGCAGTAAATACATCCAGGGATGGATCCAGCATGATCTGGTAGGGGGGTGCTCTGCCAGCTCTGGTGCCGAGTTGTGTCGGTCATGTGTGCCAACCGCCCATCAACTTGCTTCACAACTGCAAAGTCCTGCTTGACTACTGTATTTAAATTGTAATTGTTCACATTTCACTTATCATGTTATTACTCAAATTACTGTATGTCATTTGTCTCTAATAATTTTTTGCTTTATCATGAAAAATAGCACCCCCCCCCTGCACCCCCTCTGGCCAGGGCAAGGGGGGTGCCCCCCAGTACATCCATCCCTGAATACATCTCTGCAGGAATGCAAGAAGAATTTGGCTTCTTTTCCCCCATGAAAACTTAATCCCCCATGCCAGGATAATTTTGGTGTTTAACATTTTGATATTTTCTAACTAAAGTGTTACTGCAACAAATTTTCTGAACCCTTGTTTATTAGCTTAAATAAATATTCAATCTTTCAGAACTAGCAATTTATCATGCTTTGTCATTCTCAGTCTGGCTTTCATATGAACAGCCGTTAAAAACCCACATTGACATGACAACTTTCCTTTTCTTAATACCATACTCAGGGACGCCGGAACTGGAGGCAGCCGCCTGTTGCCCTTTACCAGGAGGGGCAAGGGGGGCAGAGGTGGCCTTTCAATTTAAAGGGTTGCCGGCGAAATAGCGAATTGTCAGAAATGTTAGTGCAATTCTTTTACGAATTTGCTTCAGAAAACGCAAAAAATGCAGTCATCGAAGACATCGAGCTTCAAGAATAGCACAATCGCCTGGCGGAGAAAGCCCTCACACCCCTATCATCCAATAAATAGAAAACATGATTAGGCGAAGTTCAACTCCCGATGTTTTGCAAACATCTCATAGTATATATCAATTCAAAAGTGCCCTTGCACAAAAATATGCCCCCCTTGCCTTCACATCGTTCCGGCGTCCCTGACCATACTGACAAGGTTTCCAAAACTCAGCCTGAGGACTGAGAGCAAACATATTTGAGCATGTTGAACAGACTAAATGCATATTTCACTGATGTCTGAATTTATAAAACATTGCATACTTTTATTTCATAAATCCTCTACTTAGGCTATCCAACAAGTCCCATTCTTTGCCCCTTCACAACAAAGAAACACATGATACCAATTGGATTTATTTATTGCCCTTCAAATAACTATGTGCCCACATTTATTCAATTAGTATTCATGGTAAATCATATTGTCAATATATAAAATAATATTGAATTTATTGTGCTTGCCTGTAATTAGCAATTAGCATATATGAGCACACTGATATATCAGTTTCAGTTCACAAATTACCTGCCCAGTCTAAAAAATATTGTCAAATGGCCCAAACTAGCTTGTGGGAGATCTAACCATGCAAGCCTATTATTACCTAGCCATGGGCTCCATGAAAGGGCCTGTTTATAAAATCCCAGCTAGGCAGGATGAGGCAGTTTCCAAGATCCTGACTATCATATCAACTCGTGTTCAAAAATACATGTATATATTTGATGAACTCACTCACGAACATGTATAAACATGACATCCTAGCTGCCTGGCAAGGTTTCCCACTTTCCCACCTGACAGGATCATATAAACATGTCTTAATATTAATTAAAATAAGCCTTTTAAATACTGCAATATCCTACATACTAATATACTATATGTCACAAGACTTTGCAAAATAACATTTTCTACTTTCCTGGCAATATGTCAGACCAGCCCAATAATAAACACATCCAGGTTTATTGTAAATATAATTATAAATGTCCAACTGAATCAGCAGAAACAGGGAGGGTTTCAAAGGACTAGGCCACCTAGCTAAGCTAAAAAAAGAAAGGTTATTAATTTTGCTCAGCCACATGCAAAATATTCTTTGCCCTTTCATGACCAAGAATCCTCAATGAGATATATTATTTATAAACACAATATAAAAATATGCAACGGATTCGAAAAGACGAAAACATTCCAGCGACTATTATTCGTAGAGAGACTTCGGTTCGTGTCGTAAAAATCGTCGGAATTACTCTTCCCCAAAAAATGTCGCTTTAACCCATGTAGTTCACGTATAAATATCGTTGAACAGATCTTTTTAAGTGCACATATTTGCACAACGCCGACCTCGAACACTTCAGCAATGCGCTTTAGCCATATTTAATTTATTACCTTTGTGTTAAATTTATGCATTATTAATACAAATTTATGCCCCCCAAATTTTGGGGGGCTGTAATGTGATTGGTCAATCAGAACAATGCCGAAGCTCATTGACCCAGCCGTTAAGTGGGCGAGTGGCGAGAACACAACGGCTGGAATCTGAGCCTACTATAAATGTTAACCAATGGAAAAACTCCAAATCTGTTATTGACTGGTTCCAGAACATCGAAGAAAAACCCAACCATACATTTTATTGTTTGACATAGTTGAATTTTATCCTTCCATCACAGAAGGACCTCCTTGACTGCGCCATCGTTTGGGCTAGATCCTTAATAACAATCCCGGAAGAAGATATTTCTATTATCAAGCATGCGCGAAAATCACTCTTGTTCAACGGTGGTACAGCTTGGACAAAACGAAGTAGCGATTCATTATTTGATGTAACGATGGGCAGCTTTGATGGAGCGGAGATCTGTGAATTGGTTGGTTTGTTCGTTCTGAGTAAGCTAGCAGAGAAGTTTGGTAAAGAAAATGTTGGGCTATACCGCGATGACAGCCTTGCACTAATTGAAGGCATTAACGGAAGAAAGGCAGACAAAGCAAGAAAGATGTTACATGACATATTCGGTCAAATAGGTTTGAAAATAACAGCCGAGGTTAACAATCAAATTTTAAACTTTCTGGACATTACGCTAGATTTGAAAAATGCAAAATTTGCACCCTGCAGAAAGCCAAACAACCAACCCCTTTACGTTGACAGCCGATCAAACCACCCACCATCCATCCTAAAGCAAATTCCTATCTCAATTAACAAGCGTATCTCTTCCCTTTCATCTGACCAAGAATCCTTCGATGAATGCAAACCTTTCTATGAAACCGCACTTAAACACAGCAATTACAATGTTTCTCTGGATTATTCAACCAACAGCCCTTTTTCTCCACCATCTACGAAACGAAGGCGCCAAAGAAACATTATCTGGTTCAACCCCCCGTTCAGTAAATCTGTTAAAACCAATATCGCGCAGAATTTCCTTCAACTTCTCGATAAACACTTCCCACCCACAAGTCGTTTGCACAAAATATTCAACCGCAACACAGTTAAAGTTAGCTACAGCTGCATGCCTAATGTAAAGAGCGTTATATCTGGCCACAACAGCCGCATCTTGTCAAAACCCACAACTACTCCACCAAACTCAGATAATTGCAACTGTAACAACCCGAGTGAATGCCCTATTAAGAAGAACTGTACATCTAAAAACATTATTTAGTTACATCACCCGACGACGGAGTCACAAAGGAGTATATTGGAATGACAGCGACTACGTTCAAGGAAAGATATGCAAATCATAAAAAATCCTTCAAATTTCACAGATATAAAAACGATACAGAACTGTCAAAGTACATCTGGGAGCTAACGAATAATGACAGATATTACATCCTAAAATGGTCAATTCTGAAGCGGGAGGCACATACTCATCCGGTGCAAAGCGTTGCAATCTCTGCACAGAAGAAAAACTCTGCATAATGGATGCAGACAAGCATATAACATTAAACAAAAGACCCGAGATATTCGCGAAATGCCGCCGTCACGAGAAATTTTGGGCGGGAAATTTTGAATGCGCGCGAGAATAATGACGGTGCACGTCAGCAAACTATAGATCACGACATAACGAACTGAATTAGTTAATTGCCTGATGATTGTCATAAATAGTGACATGAAACTTAAAGTAGCGAGAAATTGAAACATTTTAAGATAACAAATATATATATATATATTAAATTATAATTTTTACAAAATTATACAGTGTTCTCCGGATTGTAATTATTTGTTTTGAGCTTTTGAATCGGTACTTCGAGTCTTCATCAGAAAGGATTGATCTTTTGAATTTTTGCGCTGTTGTTGACACTGTTGAAGTCTGGGAACATCTGATTGGTTGATGGATTTCAGTATGTTGGTTGCCATTGGGTACTATGGAATGCAGGTGATTATTGTTATCATGAGACGGTGTAGGGAAGGAAGTTGAGGGTCGGTTAAAGGTTAATGAAGATGAATTAGGAGATTTGTGCGAGCGTTTCAGTTGTAAGTAAATTGTAGGGCTGTCAATGTGACAGTTAAATGTTTGTTTGTCTAAATTATGCCACGCTTCTTTAAACTCACGGGCATGTTTAGTAGTTGCTTGTCCTAGGCATCTCGTTTGAGACCAGCTGAATTTATGTCCGTTGTCGTCTGTGTGTTTAGCTGGAAGTGAGCTATGGTTGTGTCTGTTGATTGCGTTCTGGTGTTCTGTTAGTCTTGTCTGAATCTTTTTAGATGTTTGTCCAGTGTACTTATCCAGACAGTTTTTTGCAAGGGAAGATATAAATGGTGTTATGTTTTTCTGTTATATGTGTCTTGTCTTTGTGTTTAATGAAGTTGGACCTAAGTTTGCATGTTGGTTTGTGTGCAACGTCAATGTTGAATGGTCGGAGGAGTCTAGCTGCCATTTCTGATGTAGTGTGTATGTAAGGAAGTGTAATTCTCATTTTTGTTTGGTTAAGTCGGTCTGTGTTAGTTTGTTTATGTTGTAGCACCTTATTAATGAAGTCATTTTTATTTTTGTAGAAAGTAGAGTATAAATACTTGCATTCATCTTGTTTGGATTGATCAGTGTTACAATGTGTGTCAATTCTGTTGAATAGAGTCTTTATGCAACTGACTTTGTGTTGTGTTGGGTGATTGCTATTGTAATTTAAAATTTGATCTGTGTGTGTTTTCTTGCGATAAACTTGTGTGGTTAAAGTGCTGTTGTCTGTTTTTATTATTAGGACGTCCAAAAATGCGAGTTTGTTGTCATGTTCTTCCTCTTTGGTAAATTTGATGTTCTTAGTGGTGTTGTTAATTGTTTGTAGGATGTCGTCTGTTTTGTCCTTTTTGACAGCAGCAAGTACATCGTCTACATGCATACCTGTTCCATGTTTTAATGTCGTCATTGTTTGTAACAGCTTTACTTTCCAGATCTTGCATCACTGCCTCAGCAAGGAAACTGGAAAGTAGTGACCCCATATATATTATATATATACATATATAATGTCCAATATTCTTGGCATATTAGCATGTATTTGCTAGAGGCCTAACAAGCTTCATCAACCCGAGATGAAATAAAGTTATCTATCTAGTTAACAAATATCAATAGGATAGAATTTACATTTTAGAAAATTATTTAAGAATATATACAGAATCAGTATGTTATGTGTATAGTCAAATATATATACTCTCTTACGTTCACATACTTTGATCGGCGACTTGTTATCACTCTTTCTATCTGTTATCTACCCAGTATCAAGTGTCTTTTTCTTTTTATTTCTGACATTTCGAGGGTAAAAATATTAGAAATATAAAGGGTAAAAATATTAGATCACTAAAAAGCCTACAGGGTGAGAAGAGCACTTGGCAGCCATCTTGAAAAATATATGGGTTTATGCCGAATGCCGAAACTTGCTGAGTGATGATGAACGGAGTTGAATACCCCCCTGTTCATGTCCAATATTTCTTGCCATGATCTTGAGAACAAACCATAAAAACAAGAAACTGAAAAATAAGTTACACTACAGCTTAAAGAGTTCTTTCATTTAAGAAAATAAGAAATTTCATGTCATATGCACTTTTAACTAGCAAATATTTCAGATCGAATGCCCACAGAGAGCACATCAGGGTACTGAACAGAACATCACTAAAAAATTGCGTGTGATTAATTCTGATCATGTCCATTTTCAACATAAAACAATAATTTATTTTGTACCAAACGTTTGGCAATATTTACACAATTGAGCCTTTGGTAAACACAGGTCACATGTATTCACACAATTGCATGGCTCACTCTGATAGCACATGCTCAGACACATTTCTACCTGTTTTTAAGTCAGTGATAATGCTCTCTCAAGAAAACATAGATCAGGATAGATCCAGCATGATCTGGTAGGGGGGGTGCTCTAGTGCCGAGTGTTTATAGATCAGCGCTCGAAGGGTGTCAAGGGTCAGTCTGTGCTTCACAGGTGTTCCACTGGTGTCGGTAATAAGCACATACTACTCAAATTACTGTTGTCTCATGTTGTCTTTTAATATGTTTGTGTAAATTTGTTTGATCAATGACAATTGCTTGGTATTTGAATACTCGATAACAATATTAGCACCTGCTTGGCCAAAATAAGGGGGATGTGCACCTCCTCCCCCTCCCCCCAAGTAAATCCATTCCCTGAACACATTACCAATTGTACAATCAAGATACATTCATTCCATTACCAGTAATGCAAACTATAATAGCACACAATACATTAAATTACCACCACAACTAGCAATACAACTTTGAACTAATTAATGGTGGGTACAAGTTATCTCAAATAACTTACGTTAGTCGAAAGAACTTTAAGTTAACCCTTTAAGTGGCAATGCACCCTGACACAGCCTACTTTAGTATTTTACTCTGTCTAACGCCAGACAATTTTTCTCGTCAAGCGGAGAGTGTTACCACTCAATGGGTTAACCGCGAACTGCCCATGCATCCTCTTAACCCTTTAAGTGACAATGCACCCTGATGTGCACTACTTTAGTATTTTACTCTGTCTAACGTCAGACGATTTTACTTGTCAAGTGGAGAGTGCTGCCACTCATTAGGTTAAATACTAAATTTTAAGTTTAACTATGCCATTACTAGTCTCCTATGCAGACCTACTTTAGCGGGTTTGGGCCCGCCACGTACGGTCTGCTTACTTTGGCTAGCAATTCGCCTTCCCATTGTATTCCATTAGCCAATAGGATATAAGGTCAAATCAGCTTGTTATGTCAAGTTCATTTGGTGGACACACCCCTTTAGCAGTATAAACAAAATTGTACAAAATAGTTAAAAATAGATTATTTTAAATAATGTAATTTATAATCAACAACAATGAGTGCGAAAGAAAAAATAGATGCAGAAAATTATGAAAATATTTGTTTATCTTGTAAAAACGACGAGATAAAGAAATATCGAGTGTTAGTAAATAGCGGTCGTTCACAGTATAACTTCTTGGAAATATTTCGAGAGAAATTTGGTGTTTTTCTGGAATGCCTCTGTGAAATTTACCCGCGCTGTTTCCTATGCCGACGATGTGTGCAAGAAATAAAGCGACTTGTAAGCGCGGAGAACACTATAAATGCTGTGAACAAGTATTTTAATGAATTATTCAAAGAACGGGAATTAGAATCCATTTCGAAAATAGAAGGCAAGAGGTTATGTCACAACACCAGCTTCGAAATCCCCACTTCAAAAAAAGTGAAAACTTACCTCGCATATAACGAACAGGGAGGAAATAGCCATTCCAGTCAACAGTACAGTTCATCTTTGTTCTCAATCCAACCACAAATTGCATATCCTAACCACATGTTTATACCGCAACCTTATGCTGGATTAGCTGTTGGTAGTGTTACTGTCCAGTCGCAACGACTGCCGTTGGCTATGAATCATAATAACTTTGACATACAGAATGAGGGCATCGATTTTGTCAATGCCTCTGCGACGTCTACACCCAAAAAGCGTCAAGTACCAACAAACACAGAGCCGACAGTGGTCACAGTGTCTGTTAAATACCCATCGAAATCAAAGCAGAAGCAACTCAGGGGTGATTTTGCAAAACTTGGCAAAGCTTTAGTGCACGAAAATAATGTTGGAATTGCAAACACTGTTACTAAATTGATACACCTGCGCGAGAAGGTAATTGAATGCATATTGCGACTTTTGAAGAAAGAAATTGAGGATTTGTGTTCTACGGGAAAGCCATCTTTGTTACGGGGTACAACAAAGGAAAAACTTTAGAGTTTCAAGTTAGAAAAACTTTGTGAAGAATGGGCAGAGCGAGCACCATTATTTTATTCCTTTTTACGTGTTTGTTGTTTCAAGTCAAACAAAGAAGATGCCAATTGGTGCCCCGGGATGGCTATGGCTGGTAGCGTGTTACTGAAACAACGCAATAAACACATGAACGCAATGGCTGCAATAATTGGAATGACACTGAAAACTTCATCAACATCGGTATGATATTAATTTAATTTGTACAATTTATATTCAACTTGATAAAACATGAGACAATCTAGTAATAAATCTTGTCCCTTCATATCAAAGAGTACTATATAGCATAGACATAAAAATGCTATGCATAGAAGCCCATAGCGTTATATACTAAGAATGGTCTTGATTTCTGTGTTATGGGTGAAACTATTTTAATATTACATTATTCATGTTTAGGTTTATGATCAAAAACCGTACCTTTTTTGTTTGTTAAATATGCATGCATGTAATAAAGTATGCACTATTGTACATATCTCAGGTACTTGACACTTGTAGTATGTTCTACGTGTATGATTAAAAGGCAAACGCATTGACATTGTATAAACCCTTGGCCTTACGGAGTTATGGCTTATATTTTCAAAACAAACAAACACAAAATGAACAGGCTTACAGTAATTCAAATGGCATTACCGTCTATATCATGGCCAGATTTTGAGGGGATGTGTGGGGAGGTGCGCATCTCCCATATATACCTCCCCTGAGATCGTTTTGCACCTCCCCCGAGAATTTTTGCACCTCACCTGAAAAGTGAACGCACCTCCCATCGGGAAAGTTTCAATGATAAATCAAAGTGAATATTTGACATTGCTTAGGGTCGATATTTCATAAAAACAGTGATATAGCCATCTGTGTCAAATACCGTTTTATTAATAATGCAATGTTTTGCTAACATGCATATGTCACGTTGACTTTAGCCTGTTCTAAGCCATAACTTTCAGAGCATTTTTTAATAATTCGTCAGTGGGGAGGGGGGGGGGCATTTTAAATTAATAGTAGGGAGGCGGGTCTGGGGTATTCTCCCCCAGAAAATTTTTGTGTTTTTCTACCCCTATAATTGCAATTCCCTGCATTTTCTGAAACAGATTTTTGGATATACAGCCATTACATTATGCTGTTGATAGACTGAACCTTCAGTTAAGTACTTGCATATTATGTTTATATATGTAGATACCACAACTTGGCTGTCACTCAGGGAGCCAGGTTGATAAACTTAGAGGGCCCGACTCCCACGAAGCGCCACCATGGTTGGCACAGAGCGGAAAATTTTTGAAAATTTTGCGTCTCTAAATTGTCGGAAATGGCATTTTCAAAGTCTTCTCTGCCTCTTTTGTTAGGCCCTTTCATTAATTCGTTCATTACGATTTGTGAGTCTATGCTATCCGTGAGTCAGGATGGATTATTGCGAGAAATGTTATCAAAATATCGATTACAGATATTTGATTATATATATATATATATATATATATATATATACGATTTCAAATACTTCTAGTTTCGAAATCAATTGGGTTTTTTTGGTGGGGAGCCAAAATTATTTCCCCCCCCCCCTTATAAAACACTGGGTCAAGGGCCCGTTGCCCCCTGCATCACTAACTTGTTTAGCCGAGCCTTCCAACAACTCAAATCTAGAGGGTCTGGGAAATGCAACCCACAGGAAAATGTTTAACATCTAATAAGGTATTTACAACACAATGTTTAGCATTAAGGATATAAAAGACAGGACATAAGATTCACAAACCAAATTTCAGTTACTAGAATATCAAACCTCCCTTCTAAATTCCATGTTTTGCTTATATTTTAGAGAAAAGGGACTTTGACTGGGGGCCAAAATAGTTGAGTGGGGGGGGCCGCCTTGGGGGCTGGGTTATATAGTTAAAAAATGCCCTGATAACTTTCCATGGGGGTTGTGACCGCTGCACCTCCCCTAAATTTTTTTCCCACTTCTCCCACTATTTCCACCAAAATCCGGCCTTCAGGTCTATATGTAAGAAGTATGTGTTACATCAGGTTAAAAAATCCAAGTTCCATATGAAAATCTTATATTCTTTTCAGACAGTAATTAGTACTTTTGCAAAGCTTAAACTAAGTTGCTGCAATCTTACTATCCTAAAGAAGATGGATGCTTTGAGACAAAACCATGACGAGATGCTACAAAATGCAAAACAACAGATAGAAGAAAGTTACAAAGATGGAAAGTTTGGCCCTTCATCTCATCCTGGTTTTTCCATCCCATTCGACAACATAGATGTTACGATTGGTCGACGGCATATGACAATTGCGCATCAGAATCAGGACTGTCACTGGGTCAATCATATATACGTACAGAATCGGGTTTCAGGTAACTATTTGCCTGCTAGTGGCTGCAGCCAGGACATTGATAAGTTAGACAATATTGATATACTCGTCAGTTCACAGGATGAGAAGAAGCAAAAGTTTGAATATGGAATTCTAGTATCGCGTTTCCTGGTTGAGCATTTCAAGCAATTTGAATTTCTGAAAAAAGTATGTATTTTGCATATCACACATCGATATACCAAAGAAATGGGGACGAAATCTGTCAAGGTGTGTCCATTAGGCCAAGTAAAATAATTTGGTTGGCGTCCCTGCCTGACCAGTAAAAAAGCTCCCCGACCCATATTTTTTTAGTTTTTATTAATTTATTATATAAATACCTTAAAAATCTTATATTCCAAAAGAATATGTCAACATTTATATAAATAAACCAACATTCACAGCCGGTGTTACAATTGTCAGTAGTTGACTAGTGCTGGGGTGTGATACACACGGTTAGCACAATTTTCCATCCAGCAAACTGATCTCAGACATCATTTTCGGGAGATGGAAGAGGTGTTAAATTTATATGTAACTAACCCAAACCCTACCCCTACTCTAACCCCTAACCACAACTCTAACCATATATCCATAACTGAATTAATAAAAAAATCCAAAAATAAACGCCTTTTTTTTTAAACGACCAGGGCATTTTGCTGGATGGAAAATAGTGCTAACCGTGATACACACAATTGCTATAAATCCTCAATATAATAAATATGCTCATATTTTATATCCCTGGGAACAAGGCTGATTTTATATAGTTACAAATAAAAAAATAACACCCCTCCCCTCCCCTAAAAATTAAGAAAAAAGGACGCTAGGGCCTTTTAAATCACTTGCACACATTTTAGTAAATTCATAATTTCCGTTTTACAGAGTCACATTCTCAGTTACTATTAAATGTTAAATTTCTTATACAGGAGCACTTAGGAATCATATTTAAAAATGAAAATGCAAATGATGAGATGATCGAGATATTGAAACAACTTCAGTCCTATCTGCTATGCCACACAAATGAAGATGAGATGCAGTTCGAACCACAAATATTAGCTGGTGATCAGTTGACAGTTGAGCAAACCATCAATGTTAAACAGTCTGTAAGCAATGGGTATAAAGCAGAAGATCGTCTAGAAGGGATTATTATGCAGCTGGGAGATTGGCATACTGGTCTCAAAATACTTTCGGTAAGATTGTATATGTATGTATTTATCATGTTGATAGATGAGTGATGGGTCAATCATATAGTGAACTGTATTATATAGTTATTATATAAAGAAACCATCAGATTGCAAGGTGACTACGTATTCCCTAGAATTTGTAGGATACAGTGGCACTGCTATTTTCATCATATGTCCGAATCCAATTTGAACATAAACAACTCTAGCTATTATTTGCCACAGTGGTGTAAATATAACAGTCCAATAGACTTTTCATAAAATTTAATCTAATGAAGATGAGATGCAGTTCGAACCACAAATATTAGCTGGTGATCAGTTGACAGTTGAGCAAACCATCAATGTTAAACAGTCTGTAAGCAATGGGTATAAAGCAGAAGATCGTCTAGAAGGGATTATTATGCAGCTGGGAGATTGGCATACTGGTCTCAAAATACTTTCGGTAAGATTGTATATGTATGTATTTATCATGTTGATAGATGAGTGATGGGTCAATCATATAGTGAACTGTATTATATAGTTATTATATAAAGAAACCATCAGATTGCAAGGTGACTACGTATTCCCTAGAATTTGTAGGATACAGTGGCACTGCTATTTTCATCATATGTCCGAATCCAATTTGAACATAAACAACTCTAGCTATTATTTGCCACAGTGGTGTAAATATAACAGTCCAATAGACTTTTCATAAAATTTAATCTAATGAAGATGAGATGCAGTTCGAACCACAAATATTAGCTGGTGATCAGTTGACAGTTGAGCAAACCATCAATGTTAAACAGTCTGTAAGCAATGGGTATAAAGCAGAAGATCGTCTAGAAGGGATTATTATGCAGCTGGGAGATTGGCATACTGGTCTCAAAATACTTTCGGTAAGATTGTATATGTATGTATTTATCATGTTGATAGATGAGTGATGGGTCAATCATATAGTGAACTGTATTATATAGTTATTATATAAAGAAACCATCAGATTGCAAGGTGACTACGTATTCCCTAGAATTTGTAGGATACAGTGGCACTGCTATTTTCATCATATGTCCGAATCCAATTTGAACATAAACAACTCTAGCTATTATTTGCCACAGTGGTGTAAATATAACAGTCCAATAGACTTTTCATAAAATTTAATCTAATACAAACATTACTACTACATAGTACAAGATTATCCTACCCATACAATAAGTTATGGAAATTTACTGTTAATTATAATGACAGGATATTAGACAAAATAATTATAAATTTAAATTCTTGTTTACAGATGATATATCAACGATTTTATTCAGCCAAATCAGATGGCGATATGTGCACAATGTTTTCTGACAGGACACTTATCAACAGAAGAAATGTGTTAAGTGATCCTAAGAATGCCTATGCCCCTAATAGGGATTTTTTGTTGCTTGAGTTTTAGGCACGAGTCATTGCAGCTGCAATGAATGTTTTAGGGTTTGAATCTCTAACAGCAGCACCAAGTAAATTCCCAATTCCAGAAGGTTTGCATAATAAGCCAAGATCTGAGCAGATAAAGTATTTAAATGATGCAGCGGGCAAGATAGTTGATGAACTTGTATTCACCCATGAAGATTCAGATCATCTTATTGATGGTATTTTAACCACACAAGAGAGAGAAAATATGGTGAGAAACCAGCAACTGACAACAGATAAAAGATTCCCATGTCGTTTTGAGGGATGTGACAAATCATTTAAATATGATGGGAAAAGCCGTCAGAAACATGAGCAGACTCATAATCCCCCACCTCAGGTTAATCAGTCTGTGCATTCTACAACTTAGATCCCAATTACAGATGATCATATTGATGACACAAAAGATGATGTGTATAGTTACAACTGTGCTCTGCTTGCACATGGTCTTTTTTTCCACAACTTTTTAGATGCTGTTAAAGAGGGAGATGGCAGAAGAATAATGAGACAATACAAGTATCTTTTATTGTATTGCAAAGCTGATAATAATCACAGTGTCAAATATGCACTTGAGTGCTTGTATCAGATGTTTCTTGTGAATGGGCTTCTTTCCCCTAGAGATGCTCATAGATATATTTGGAATAGAAGTGTTAATAATAATGGGATGGTTGGAAAGAATATACCACTAGACCTCGAGGTAGAACATAGTAACAAATTCTTAAAACAAGCAATCAAGAATCTTGGCCCTAATGTCACTCCAGCTGCAGTCTCAAGAATATGTGAAGCAGAAAAAAGCACAAGGATGATACTAAGAAATTTACAAGAAAGCATTTGCCACAAGGGAAAGAGTGGTAAGCACACAGCTCGAAGTACAGACAAAGATCTAAAGGTGATTGTTGACAAACTTGTAGAAAACCATGTTTTTACAAAACAGGATGGCCGCTGTTACAAAAGTTTATGTGGATTTGTACGAAATCCATTATCTCAACTGGACATGTCGATCATTTTCAATTGGATAAATGAACATAAGAAAAATGTAAAATTAAACATTAAAGCAAGATAAAACGAACTTAATATTTTTGTCATTTATAAAATGGATACCTGAAATATTATCCTGCCAAATTAGGTAATATATTGAATGCTTGTGCCAGCGTATGTAGAGTAATCGATAAAACTTCTGGGCGACTGTGATAGACTAGTCGAAGGTTTATATGTATTTTCAGGTAGTCTATATGTAACATTCACCCAGAAGTTTTATAAGGTCAGGTACATTAAATCTATTACACCCCCAATAATGTAGAATTACTGTAACTATTATACTAACTACAAATTGGGTAGTTTGTATGTAATGTCAGACATTTATAAGTGTTCATGCACTTAACATGATTACACAGAGTATGTACTATTGTATGTAGTTAGCAGGGTGCTTAGCAGAGTGAAATGCAATTTAGTCTATAGAATGGGACGGCCTTGTGACGCTGGCAGTGGGCGTGGTTGGACGAACGTGGTTGGATGAGCAGTGGGGTACAGACAAGGGCTGTAGCTAGAGTCAATAATTGGGGGAGAGGGGGCTGTACATTCATGTATTCATGTTCACAGACCGTAAAAACAATAAAATTCAAAAGAAGTGAATAATGCAGAACATGAATTATTGAGCTACTGTAGTTACGGCCCTGGGTACTGAAACATTTCCACTTCTTTGTGGGGTGGGGCTGGTAGACAGAACTGTGATTGTTTGTAAGTTTCAAATTTATAAAATCAATCTATTAGGGACGAACTATTGGATATTTGAGAGGGGGGGCAATTTTTTTGTGCATGATTTTTTTTAATCCTCGACTGTTGCCAAGATTTTTTTTTCTTTTTGCAAGATATTTTTTTTAAAGATACCATAAAAAAATTTTTCCAACAAAGTTTGTTAACAGGGGCCATAAATTTTTGGATTGTTGTAAAAGATCATGTTAATGTTTTAATGTTTTAAACCAATTGTATTACGATTTTAAAATTCAGCCCTAATTCTTGCTCGATTTTGTTTTTCAATACGTTTGTTTTGCACAATATTTTTTCTGGATTTTTTCTGTGCTTAAATTTTTTTTTTGGTTTTTGCAAACCCCC